AACTCTTAAGGCCCCTACATTAAACCCTAAGAAAGTTCATGTTCCGGCTCGGGGTTGCCCAGTTCGAGCTAAGCGCGCCCTCAACCCTGAAACTCTGACAGCCCTAAATTTACGCCCTAAACCCTAAACCCCTAAATCCTAAACCCTAAACCCCAGGGTCTAGAGTTTCAGGGCTTCAGGGTTTAAGGTTGAGGGTTCCTTTAAAGGAAGTATAGTATAGGGTTCCTTAAGCTTTAGAGGGATCTTTCATAAATTATAAGGGTACCATAGGGTTAGCCCTAGATCCTGTACGCCGTAAAATCCTGAAAGCCCACGCGGGGTTGAACCCCCCGAACCCTGAAGAATCTGTACTGAGGCCCGGTTTACGGTTTATGGTTTAGGGATTAGAGTATAGGGAAGTTTAGGGTTTAAGGTGGACCTGATTTTACAATCCTCTTTGTTTGTAGACCGCTCAAAAGACGCCATTTAAACACAACCCTGCTATATCCCGAATCCCCAAACCCTATTGTGAACCTTTTCTCAGCTTTAAAGCCCTAAACCCCGAACCCCAAGCCCCCGAGCCCGAAACCTTATATACCCTGAAAAACCCCCAAACCTCACCATAAGCCTTCTAAGCCCTACATTCCTGAACCCCTAAAGTCCTAAACCCTAGAAGCTGTCAGCCACGTACTACAGGGTCCTAAATACTGATTTTGGGTTCCTTATTCCATTTATAGTATTATATGTCACAAAAATTTATTCAACCCTAAACCCTTAACCGCAAACCACAAAAAAACTCTATTCCAATCTTTAAGCAACCCGAAACCCTAAACCGCAAACCCCCCCAAAAAAACTCTATTCTAATCTTCAAGCCTCTGAATTAGACGAAGGCCTTCCTGCGCGTGAGACGCTATCCCGGGCTGGTCGCGGAGATGTTTTACACAGCTCCCGGTCTCTTCTAAGGGCCCTAAACCCTAAACCCTAAACCCAGGGCTCGTTTAGGGGTTGCTTCCAGGGTTCCCTTCAAGGGGGTTCCGGTAAGGGTGGTCCCTTTAAGGGTACCTGGTGAGGGGCACCTTTAATGGGTTTCCTTGAAGGTTTTGGGTTCCTTTACGGGTTCCTTTAGGGGTTCCTTTGAAGGGTTCCGCTGGGGTCCCTTTAAGGGTCCTTTTAAGGCTTCCTTCAAGGGTTCCTTTGAAGGGTTCCTGTAAGGGTTCCTTGAGGGGTCCCTTTGAAGGGTTCCGGGCTTGTTTAAGGGGTTCCTTTAAGGGCTTCTTTAGGCGTTCCAAAATAAGGGTTCTATATGGGGCAATAGGGTTTCTTATTGATTTTGTACGGGTTGCGTAGGTGGTGCTTTATAGGGGTCGTCATAGGGGCGTCGGACAACTTGTAATCGTATCCCCTTTATAAGCGTAAACTTGAGCTGGCGCTGAACTCCAGGCCATATGGACTGAATAGTTGGGATTCAGATTTGGGGGAGTAGGGATCAGGTTTATTCAGGGTTCAGGGTTTTCGGGCTGACACCCAAAAATGTAAACCCTACTTAAAGGATCGTGGGACTTAGTAAGTAGGGTTACAATTAAGGTAACTGCACTTATATTATATTTACTTGTAACACCAATAAAAGGACTTATAACCCTACTTACTAGGTCCCATGATCCTCCAAGTACCTAAACCCTAAACCCTAAACCAGCAATCTGAGGCTTTGATCCGCGAGCGGCGTGATGTGCGGGGCCCGGCCAGCAGAGCGTGGAAGGATTCGCAGGCCTTCGTGTCACGGAACTGCGTTACAGCGATGAGCCATGGCAGGTTTGGGGTTTAGGGTTTAGGGGTTTTAGGGGTTTTAGGGGTTTAGGGATTTAGGGTTTAGGGTTTAGGGTTTAGGGTTTAGGGCAGGTTTGGGATTTAGGATTTAGGGTTAACGGTCTTGTTCGTATAGGGGCTTTCTATGAGAGCTTCATAGAGCTTCTGAAGTGTTGACGTGATGTGGTGCTTTTGGACTCATTAAGTTGACGAAATTCTGCGTCAGAATGTGGAACTCGATGCAGCAGTCCTAGCACATCTATCCTAAAGGGTCCATGCACCAATATAGTAGTTACTTGGTAGGTATTTGGGTCCCAAAAGCATATACTATACTATTACTTGGACCCTTTGGGTATACGTTACAGCGTCTTTCAACAAATCGCAAATCGGCTGCTTTTTGTCAGAACAATCTCGGGAGACCCGCGGCCGAGCGACGCAGGGTCTTGTTTCGTATGGGTTTAGGATTTAGGGTTTAGGGTTTAGGGTCTAGGGTTTAGGGTTTAGGGTTTAGGGTGCTCTCGTCGCCCTTTTTTTTGGCCCCAAGTAGATACTTGGGTATTGAGTAGCTGAAGAATGTCAGGGAACACAGCCAACTAGGAAGATGAATGTCCAAAGCTTGAAGCCTTTTCTTCTAAATTCTTAACCCTGAACCCCGAACCGAAAAGGCCAGCATAGTGCTTTGATAATTTGTTTTGAATATGTTGAATTTTACTAACGGTTCAGGGTTTAGAGCTAAGGTGTCTAAAGCTATGACCTGTTTGAAGTTTGAGCAAGTCGCATCTTACTTCCTGAGCCCCCAAGCCCTGCGTGATGGTAGCCCGGCAGCCCTGCTTACACAACCGTACACAAGCCATAACCTCAGGAGAACCCTTTAGAAAAATAAAAACTACATCCGAGGGACACCCTGAGCGCCGAGAGATTTATCCACTCCCTCCTGCTGCACTGCACCCGCAACGAGCGCGGGACCCACCTGCGCGACGAGCTCAAAGGGCTTCGGCTTGGAGAGAAGACGTCGGAGGCCCATGATTTCTTCGTCATAGTGATGATGGTGGTGGTGGTGGTGGTGGTGGTGGTGGCGGTGGTGGCGGTGGGGGTGGTGGGGGTGGTGGTGGGGGTGGTGGTAGTGGTAGTGGTAGTGGTAGTGGTAGTGGTAGTGGTAGTGGTAGTGGTAGTGGTAGTGGTAGTGGTCGTGGCAGTGGCAGTGGCAGTGGCAGTGACGGTGGCGGTGGCGGTGGCGGTGGGGTGGTGGTGGTGGGGGTGGGGGTGGCGGCGGCGGCGGCGGCGG